CATTTGAATAACTGCCAAATCGCTCTCCGTGGTGCTAACGTTAAAAAACCTCCACTTTTTTCAAATTTTCTTGTTGTGGTTTTCACACCTGATGGTGATTGCTTGTGTTGCAGTCGAAACGTCGTGGTAATTTTATTGTTTTATATTTTTATTATTTTATTGTTTCCCTTTTACGTGACTTTACCGAAAGAACCCAGAATATTATTTGTTTAATGAACTTTTTTCCACATTTTAATATGTTATGAAAGAAACATCATAATAATGAATGTTAGTTTTGTCAATTTTGGTCCCATAGTTTAATGGAATTTTTTGGCATGGAAAAATAAAGATATGTTTAAATCCGTTGCTGAGAATAGGCCTCAAGGCCCAACACATCAAGGGGTTCGAAAAAAGCAGCATTATGACATGTGTAATAGATACGATTTGAGGGCTAAAATAACTTAGGATAGAAGGTTGAAAGGAATCTCAAAGTTGAGCAGAGTGGGGAAACACAAACATTTTACTGTAACATACCTCGGCATTATTTACTTTAACATTAAATGTATAACATACATACCTTCGCATAATATACCTTATCATAACATACATTAATGAACTTCTGTCAGAATACAGCTCTTGTCGCAGAGAAGTTAATGTTATTTGTTACGCAGATGATTGCATTGAGCTCAGGCTATTTTACAAGGGACATCCATGGTGTGAGGATCCAAAATCGCACACCATATCTGTGGAGAAAACTCTTCTGACCTGCATTTTTTATTCACAATTATTGCTCATATGATTAATTTAGTGCGTTGTACTCCACCACGCCTATGGTGCTTGCAAGTCATGGGATACATTTGCCATCTAAAAACATGTATGGTGGTGTTGTGTGTGCGGTGGCATGAGCGGTGACTGCAAACACCAATTAAGACAAACAACATCCTTATTTTCTTCCAAATTTTTCTTCATCTTCCCCCATTGTTGTATTCATCTCCATCACCACCTTGATTATCCGACAGCTGTTGCAATCAGCACCCAACCTCTAAGGTCTTATTATACAGTATTCTACCACCTGGGTACAATACATTATTGGATTCCGTTGCAATGTGTTAAAACTTGCACACTAAGCCGTTTTGGCGGTTATGACTGGCTATGATGACAGTAACATTCGACTTTTTTATGATACTAATTTTCATTCAACATTGGATGGCAGAGATAGCAATTGTGGCAGTTACTGGGATGTAACAATGACTGTCATGTCATGATTGTCATGTCATGATTGTCATCAGTCATTCATCATCATAATCATAATTTAACCTTTAATACATTTCAATCATTTAGAGACAAGCCACTTTGTGATTGTGGAAATGCAATACAAACTATTAATGATGTATATTCTTGGTTTTTTCGGTAAAGTCTCTTCTATGTGACTTTACCAAAAGAACCAAGAATATGAATCCCTGCAGTCACGAAAGCTTTAAATCAAAATATTAATGATGTAGTAAACCATTGTACTCTACGCTCATTCATTCGAGGCATACCAAAACGTCATGCTCTTCTGAAGCCCTCTCGTGACTGCAAAACCTCAACATTGGCATTTAGCTCCTGAACGTATTCACAAATGCTATAATAGAATCGTCATGAACGTTATTATCAATGGACAATCATACACAGTAGGATGAATGTAGTTGCTTATTTTCCATTGAAATTGACAACATACAAAGAGGGTACGAATACTAGGAGAGAGTCATCATCCATTAGTGGCCCCTTTTCCACAAAATCTCAGATGATTGGAAGAATTGCGGATTGGCAGATAGATAATCAAGTCATAATCACAGAAAATAGGAATGATGCACTATTTGTGTTCTATTGCGATGGTACATGTACTTGATATTTGTTTTAAATTGTCATGCTTTATAATTATATTAAGAAATATTTTTCCAGTGGTTACTTCATTGTTTTAATGACGATGTCATCTGCAAATTGGATATATGTATATGTGCTATGAAGGAGGGCCATTACCCCAAACGCCACCTATTTTATACTTTTCCTTTTAAGGCCACAGTGTTGTAATTGTACATATCAGTGACTGTATGTTTGACTTTTTGACCAGAAGAGTGCTTGAGGCATCATTACGTGATTGAGATATTGTTATTAAGTTTCAACAGTTGCTACCGCTAATTTAATGTCCACAATTACTCAATCCATTACCTGCAATAATGTCATCAATATTTTTTAAACCATGGCATTTTGAAGGCTAAAATCAAGAAAGCAAATGCTATATACTTTTTAGCCATCATTCTGATGTATTAATTGAAATGCAACATAAGTTGATGTAGTGCTGACCGTCATTATATTTGTCGTTATAGAGCTTAAAGTTTTTACGTGTGTAACTTTTTTGCATAGTTTGCGACTGGCTCCATCAACTTGTTAAATCAAATGTATGTGTACGCATCACCAGAATGCGTAAACAAATCTCTCTGGTTAAAATACATTCCCAACCTTCGTGTTTAGCTCCTTTGAATGTAAATTATGCATCCGCAGTACCATTTCTCCCACTTTATATTTTTGCAATATGCAATCGTACGCCTGTAAATGCACACAGTTCAGCCTCCAAAACACCTCGTGCATGTTTCAGGATGCACAGATAAATGCATATACATTATATATAACTGAATTGTTGTCAATGCTATTTGTAAGGGCTTATAATAATTAAATAGAATTACGTGGCATAAAAAGCAGCACGAGTTGCTGCAAATTGTCGTTATTACTGGTACAATTTCAACCAGGGATATACTGTGTTTTTTAAAGATGGAATTCAACAATGCTCATGAAACATGAGGGTATGATGTATTGAATTAATTGTGTTAGTTTATGAAACGCCTCAAATTGACTTGTAAATTACATTAAAATTACTTCCCAGTCAATACAGTATCTAATACGCTTATATACCCATGCATATTGTGCAGAATAATTGACTGACCACGTTAATGCTGCAGTACACTGAATATAATGCTGTGTACACTTTTGAAAGCTACCCAGCGCATTTGAGTTAGTGACGTCAAAAGAGGTAACTAAAAACAATATGAAATCAATATTGGCTTAGAACATGAGCCAAATGTTCTTCGTGGGTTTTCATTCTCAATGGTCAATAATTGGTGTTTGTAAGTAGAAGTCAATGCAGGTAATACCAACATTAACACAGAAGCCCGTCGAAAAGATAACACGTGAAGAATGGGTGTTATATAATCTATGAAATGAAGTATTGGTTTCCCGCATGGCTTTCATTTTTGTCATCAGCGTTGCTGGTCCATGTGCTTTGCTTATTTGATTTGCCTACATCCTCATTTATGTCTGTAATTACCTTCAGAGAGCAATTAGTCAGTGTAAATACATGTCTCGTAGTTTGTATTATCACGTAAAATTAAGATATACTTTTAAGGTGGGAAAGCCAACTTGCTTGAAAGATGTAGGTCTAAAAAAATGTGCAAAAAAGTTGAGCCTGTGATGATGAAATATATTAGTAGCATTGCTTTTTTATTTATATAGAACTTGCTTTACTTCCCGGATTCTTGTCTTAGATTAATACACGGCCTACGCGGAGGGTGGGGGGATGCTTGACGTCAGCAGGCACACTGCGTGACACTGCTGCATGCGGGTGACATCACAGATGTGACGTCACCGCTCACTTGTGCAATATATTATATCCATTACTCCCCCCCCCCAATTAAAAAAGTATATTTTATACTTTTTACATTGTGTACAGTACCGAAGTTAGCCACATGGCAAATTAAAAGTTTGTTGCATGGCGGGAAGTATGCTAAACATTTCGAACAGACACACATATTCACAAATTTCCCTTTTATATATAAAGATGTGTGAGCAAGAGTGGAATAATAAGAGGTCATTGTATAATATATCGTACCTGTAGAAAAGCACGCTCTATGCATTTTCTACTACTTTACATGTATCCTGTCACAAGCTGCTCTAACAAGCTTTGAAATAACCTTTGCATTTCACATAATTATTTTTGTATATATGAAAGGACTGCTTGTACTCCTATTTTTGCATCCTGTGATGTACAATTCCTAAAAAAAGTAAGTTTGTAAATGCACAAATGCTTACCGTTTATACATATGAAAGGATCTCTTGTATGAGTATTCATCATTTCGGTCATTACCCAAAGCTCATGACCATAGATGAGGGTGGGAATGTAGATCGACCTGTAAACCGTGAGCTTTGTTCGAGAAATCAGCTCCCACTTCACTACCACGGAACGGTGCAGTGCTCGCAACACTGCGGATGCTGAACCAATCTGTCAGCTGATCTCCCGCTCCCAATGAAAACTTATCTCCCGAAAATACCAAAGAGACAAAGGATACTCCACTGCTCTTGCTTGCCATTTATAAACCTCAGCTGTGCTGTGAAAATTGAGTTTGTATAACGTTTTTTTTGCATTCACTTGTATATTTTGAGAAATAGGATTTCATAAATTATTGTCCAAGAGAAAAAGCCACATCACAAAACGGGCAACTCGGGTGATAATATAGCAACTGCCTTTGGGGTCTGATGCTCATGGTTGTGGAACGTTTTTTTTTTACAGACTATGTACAAGCTTGCAGAATAGTGGCCATTTTTTCCATTTTATCAACACATTTCTCACCAACACATCATTAGGGTTTTGATATTGCTTATAATACGCATACAAAATATGTATGCATTGATTGAAATTCTGCTTTACTGCAATGAAAATATTGCTGGGTGTTTTAATTGACATCTTGGCATTTTTTTTAATTGGCAGGGATGATGCGGCGTGGCCGGGGGGGGATACGTGATAAGATGTGCCATTGTCACAAAAATCTTCGAATTGCTGTGTTTGTAAAAAAAAACTCTGGTAATATGCTGAATTTTATGACCTTAAAATATAATATAAATGTAATTAAATTTACATGAGCAATATATGTCCTGACTGCTCAATCTGTTTTCCTTATTTTAACCAAAAATTTGCTTTCCCCACACAGGAGGCGGCATTTGCTATATGGATACAGTTCAGCGACGGTACAATGGTTCCACTTGATGTGTTTAATTCGGAGGAATATATTCTGCTGCTTCGCTCCCTTGATGACCGCGTGGTCTCTGTTACCCACGATCAGCATTTCATGTGGTCCAAGGTCATCGCAGAAGGTGAAGGGCAGGGTGGATTTCTGAAAGCAGAATTTATGATCTCTGAAGCCTGTCAAAAGACCAACAGAAAGACCACACTCGTGTCACCAGTGGTTAACGTGAGAGTCAGATTCGGGAATGACAGCGAAGATCTTTATGACAGCCGCGACGATTATATAATTGGAGACGATAGCTTGGAGCGCCTCACCAAAGTTCCGCAAACAGCGGTCCCTTGGATGGAAAAGGAAAGTGTATCAAAATCAGTGGTCACTTTTACAAGACCAACGCAATCCCAGCGTGAGACCTGGAAGAAAGGATTGGAGGTTGTGAACGTAGCGCCATCGAGTGAAGATGAGAGGCCCATAAGCAGGTCGAGCGGCGAGAACGACGACGATTCAAAGGATGAAGATTTTGACCAGGATGGTGGAGACGATATGGCTAGCGTCGAGAATGATGGCATTGATAACAAGGTGGAGCCCGGCCTTTCTGACGTTCAGATTGGCATGTACACTTTACTCGGCGTCTTCTGCCTCGCCATCGTCGTTTTTCACATCAACTGCATTTTCTTTGCTCTGAAGCGACGGTGTAAGGAAGCTCCACAAACCCAGGATGAGATTGACCCGACAAAGGAATGGACGTGCATGAGAACCAGCCGTGAGCACGTCCGGGCTCAGAAGGACAACGTGAGCTCTGCAAGCTGTCACCTCGAAACGTGCAATGAGAGTTCGCACGAATACGAGCACATTGACCACAACGGCTTGTGGACAATAGATGTGAGCCAGATGTACTCCCATTCCAGGAGACAGCAGCATGTCCCACAAAGGCTTCCTCCGCCAAGGAGCGGCATTTCAAGGCACTGCTCCTTTAGGGATAAGGACATTGAGATGTGCGAGTTCAGAAAGTAGTTGTATCTCACACCGTACATCAATTTTATGAAGAAATTATCAGAAGTTTGTCCTTGGTATTGTATTTCATATTTGCTGGTTAGTGCCATTCTGCATCGTGTACTGGTTGGATGCGTTGCAGCACGCAGATCACAAAGTGGAGACTTTTAAAAGGAGCGGAGGAAACAGGAAAAAACAAGAGACTGAATTGGGCATGTAATTTAACACTTATTCGGAGTGGATATCCGAAGGAGATGAACAATGGAAGGCTGGCATACACAAACGTTTTATATTTCCCATTTTAATCTTGAGTGCCCACTATTGCAACATTTTATTCAGCGCTTCAAGTAACCATGTCGCAGACAACACTATGCACGGAATGCTTTGCCACCGTGTACTGTACATGGTGTAGTCATGACAACGCGTGTATACACGGTGATGGTGGTTAACGATCCGTGGCTGGAGTCCCGATGTGGCCGTGACACCGTCATAAAATGCAAGCACCGTGGATCTGTTGCGGACTTGTACACGCGCGCACTGCATCCTGCCGTGTTTCCGTGCATCCAGATTGTCTTTTTTTTTCTTCCCCCCAATGGTCCGATGCACATGCATTGATCACATGTTTGGTTGGTGATTTAAAACTAGCCCTTGGTAATTATGTAGATATTTCGTGGAAGAACTGCAACTTGCATTAAATACTCACCGATCCAACCCTAACCCTCTCCCAACCCTTCCCACCTCCCCACCGTCAAACAAAGTAATCCGTCACCTTTCTTGGCATCAGTCGGGTGTTTTAGAATAAATGTGTTCTTTAAACAGGTGTACGTTAAGTGAGGCTGTGAGCGATTAATGGAATTACAGAAGAGTTGGTGGAATTACAGAAGAGTTGGTGGACCACCCCCCATTCCCCCCTCATTCCCCCCTCATTCACCCTTGTTATGGCCTAAGGAAGTGTTGTGTAAAAATAATGAGAGAAAAAAACACACTTTCAAGCTTTTGAGTGTACAGGTTATTTTTATAAATGTAAATAGCATATGGAAGCTGGAGTTGCATGTGATGATAGTGTATGTAAAAGCTTAACATTGTATAAACTGAGCTGAGATGAGGTCTATGCTATTTGTTATATTGTGATGGTTATCTAACACCCAAAAATGTGATATATTTTCATAACAGCCAGTTATTCAGTGTTGTAAATTCTATAATACTTTGTTATTTCACACGTTATGTAGCAAAACAAATCACTAACTTTTGAGCATCGATTTGTTATTGACATACAGTATGTGGTTTAATTTACAGTACTATTCTGTTTACATGTATAATCTTGTCTTATGTTTCCATAATGTATACTTAATATAGTGTACATGGGTTTTTTCAGCAGTGTCGATGAATTCCAAGAAAACTTTTCTCCGTTTCTCTGCCTGTATTTCTCTGTATATCATTATTTTTGGTGTCGCTCGCTCGTTAACTTGTGCTTACACTTCGTCACTTTTCTCTCGCGCTATCCACCCCCGTCCTCCCCTCTCTAAGCTGTATGGAATTTAATGACTTTAACGTACAAGTCATTAAGATATTGATGCTTTTTGTGACCTAAATAAAAGTATTGTGTGTTTTGAAGAGTAATCACTTTATTGCCGTGTGCTGTGCATTTAATTGTTTGCTAAATATCACCAAGCCATGCCCCTCCCCCCCCGCCTCTAAATTGTGTGGTAAGTTGTTCAAAATACATTACAGCAGAAATTCAACAATCCGCACTGATACGGCGGAGGCAATATCACCGTGGATCCTGTAACCTGCGAGGCACCGCGGAGATTAGACCGAATAATCCGCGAGAACATTAAGGAACTAAGTGGTCGCTCGATTCCATTAATTCGCAACAAACATATATTCGGATTACAGGGAAAGTGTGGCACTTGCATGACTAGTTGTTTAATAGATTTTCAGTATATTTGCAGATTATGAGGTTACGAGTTTTACTTAAGACACCAAATGACACAAAGCTGTCATTAGTCGATGTTAAAGGGTATTCTGTTTTTTTTACTTGATATCCAATTTTAACCAAAACAAAATGCACGAACATATTTTTTTGACTAGAACAATTAACGTCAGCACAGTTAGTCCAATGATCCAAAATAAAACATTCTAAATTATGAAAATTAAAATCTTGACATTTTCTCAGTTCTCATCCTTGACGTTAGCCTCTGAGGTGTTTCAAACTGGCTACACGCAATTTCACATAACCATGATAAAATATCAAAGTTTCTAAAATGTTCAGAAAATCCCCAGAAGACTTTTACGCATAACTCATCTTTCAAATTGTAGTTATTTGTACTTGTCACTGCAAGGTGGATCCCACTTTGATACCAGAATGGCAATGCAGCCAATGGAAAACGCTCTATTTACGATTGGCAACGCTGTGCAAACCACATCAGCTAAGCCAGCAGCACGCTTTGCTCCGTGACTGGTGTGTCCTGTACTGTGCAACCCCCGCGTTGGTCAAGCTACAAGCCCCCCCCCAACTTGATGCATTTCTAGATCCACCTCCATTCCACCCTCTGGGTTCTGAGGTCATGTAAGGGTGCCCCCATGGATTTGGACTGATTCATATTTGTGTCTACGTGGTTGAACAGCTGTGAGGTTTGCCGTTTCTCCAACCTTCTGGCACCCAGGGTTTGATACAATGTATAAGTATATAAAAGTAATTGTGTTATTATTTATTTTATTTCATGTTTTTTTGCTTGTATGCTGCAGTCCATGTCAAGGGCAGCAGCCTCAAGTGCGGCAAAAATCCATTATTGTGGCGTATTTCTGTGCTCACATATCCATGCTTCCTCTCTTCAATGCTCACTGACGAGCGTGGTGAAGTATGCTCAAACAATCGACACGATTTTGATTTAAAGCTTTCGTGACTGCAGTAATTCATATTCTTAGTTTTTTCGGTAAAGTCACGTTGAAGAGAAACAACAAAATAATAAAATATATATAAAACAATAAAAAATTCTCACGACGTTTCGACCATAACTCAAACGGTCATCTTCAGGTGTGTTGGTTTGCATATTTTTTTTTTAAACGGCGCATTTATTTATTTATAAAAAAAACGTTAGCGCCACGCGCAGCGATTTGGCAGTTTACCCAGGACTAGTCCATCTATATTTTGAAAAGAGGAGGGGGGAGACGAAATTTTTATATAATGTATGACAGCATACATTATAAAAAATATTCGTCTCCCCCCTCCTCTTTTCAAAATATAGATGGACTAGTCCTGGGTAAACAGCCAAATCGCTGCGCGTGGCGCTAACGTTTTTTATATATAAATAAATAAATGCGCCGTTTAAAAATACATTTATGCAAACCAACACACCTGAAGATGACCGTTTGAGTTATGGTCGAAACGTCGTGAGAATTTTTTATTGTTTATATATATTTTGTTGTTTCTCTTCAACGTGACTTTACCGAAAAAACTAAGAATATGAATCGCCACGATCTCAAGGCATGGGAAATCCATCCTCCATCTGTGGAAAATTTATAATTTCAAATAATCGCTGAAAACCTGTGACAAGCAATGTGAGGTTCTGTCTTTTCATGTTGTCTTGTTACATTTTTCTTGTGATTTTTTTTATCAGAGTAATGTAATTGTGACGTAGGAACATTCAAGATGCCCTCATGTTGCGATGAGATTTACAGCTTACCATGACGTAGCTCAATCAAATAATTGCTCATTGACCTCGGCCTAGGGGCACCCACCTTGACACCGACCTCAGTCTAGAGGTTGGTTTAGTGGCGCATTCGCCACTTGTGTAATAACACACACACCTGCTTCATGGTGTGCATTGATGTCCATGTGAGATCATTTGCAAGAGGAGGCCATTGTGTGCCAGCGTCATGGTCTAAATTTTCCAAATTGTAATAACATTGCTTGAAAATTACTCAATCGCGATTATGCATAGCAAACATCACCCCCTACTGTGAATCTTGGCAGGGCCCTCGGAAAAAAGAGTCAAGACTCATAGAGGCTTTCCTTTGGAAAACAAACAATAATAAATGAATTGTAACAATCGAGGATGTGGCCTTGAGTGACCTTGACACATGGCCTCGACCTAAAAGGCTCCCGGCCTAAGCGTTGTGGCTTTCGGCCTGAATCTTGGCCTTGGCTCTGAGAGTTCCAGCCTTGAATGCAACGCTCTGGGATACTAAATGTTGCCCATAATTTTTTTATTCTCTTCTGACTAGGGTTGCCACTTTTGAGGTACAAAGAAAGCAGGACATATAATGGAAATAAGAATATCTATTCTTGGAAGAGGGGGAGAACCAAATGTGGAATGCATTGGCAGCCTTAAAAATTTCCCAGTAGAGCTTCCTCAAGATGTGGGTGATTCTTGGAAAACCAGGAGAGATAACGACCCTAACCCTGACCCTTCCCCAACCGTACCTAAAGACCCCATCTTTCCCACAGAGAGCTCTGAATCTTAGATAGCATCAATAACATATCCTCTATTTGCATTCTCACTTAGATGCCCCGAATCAAGAAACTCGGTAAAAATAGAGATCTAGATGAATAATTATTGTCTACTCAAGCTTACAAAGGCTGTGGAACTAATCACAATACATTAGGCGCTGCTGATATAACATTAACATATATATTGGAAATAACTAAGGTAAGTAACACTTTAATTGTAGCTTTTCCCCGTACCCCCCAGCTTAGCTCATGCTCAACAAGATTGTCAGAGGGTACAATCCAGCACGCGTGCAATGGCTTGCCATGTTGTGCGGTGCTATTGAAATTGTCATAATTTTTACAATGCTGTAGGATTGTTCCATCCTTGCATAATCACTTGATAAAGCTCTGCACTGTCAACTTTGTGGATGAAAAATATATGGCAGTATAGCTCTTAACCCCAGTTTAAATCTGTCTTTTGTGAGCAAGACCCATGATCTGGCTAAAATACCCTTACCTTGGTTGTCAATCAAATGAATTAATTGTGACAGGGTAAGACGTGGATTTGAACAAGATGTAAGAGTGGTTACAACCTGTAAAAAACATTGTTTCAAACGTATTATCGGGTGGAATGTTTTCCTTTTTGAAGCCATCTGTTAATGAGAATATGGACGTCTTGCTTAAAACAACAACCCCGCAATCGCAAAAGTTATTTTATCACGCCAAGCAATATAAACAATAACAGCATAATCGTTATGGCTGGGTGACGTGATTACAAAATTGACTACTAATGTACTGAGGACCTTGAGCTTTGTGGAAGGGGCCTCGAGTGCTAATTGTTATTATTACTACTTAACTTCAAGGGAAATGTTTAAAATCACGAAGTTTTAAGTGCAAGATAAAAAAAAACATCAATTCCATTTTTGTTTTACTGGCTGTACAGTATATGTACAAGATATACAATCTATTAACATTACATTTCGCGGTACAATTCTTTGTATGTGGTAATTACTCGGTGTGTATGGATTAGATGCAAGACTTTGACACAAAGACGCTTAATGACCAAAGCACTCAGTATGGCTGTGCTTTGTAATGCTTTTTTTTGTCTCGCAATGGCAATGTTTATTTAATGGACTCAAGGGCCTGGTCCCAAGGTACATTGGGAGCCATCACAACAGGAAACAACCATTGTCATGGCATACTGCACGGAATGTACAGAATATACAGTATGTAAACAAAGATTGGACGCATTATTGGAATTGCTTTAAAAAAAGTGTTAAATAAATGTGGCATTCGAAGGAAAAACATGGGGTCAATTCTATAGGTCCAATTTGCATTTAAATAGATGAAAATCACGACTCACTAAATTTAATTAGCCTCTGTGTTAAACCAAAGTAATATTTGTCATCAATATTGTAGGGGATACATAAGGTAAGTAATTAATATTACTGCATTGACAGAATGAGTATCTTTTGTGCAGAATATTATACATGTATATATGGTATTTAAATGTAAACCTAAAAGTAAGGTTACAAGAGATGGCTGTCTTTGTGTAATGATTCGCACTCCGAACTTGCAATCCAATGGTCACCGATTCAATACGATCGCTCGGTGCGGCAGTTTAAAAAATTGGTCACCTTTGTTTAAATCCCATCCCACCTCCGTCCATCCAGCAGTGAAAATGCATAGACCAGTTGGTCGATCGGTGGGTCATGTGTAGTGGGATAATACGTGGGCAAATCCCACCTCATCTAAAACATCCAGCCAGCATGGAAATTGGGGCCAAAATATCCTCTAGAGCAGTGGTTCTTAACCTGAGTAATGTGGCAACGTCCCAGAGGAGGGGGGCGGGGGGTGTACGTGAGGCGATTCATAAATGCGTGAAATTATATCACGCATGAGTCATTTGTGAATAATCATGGAGGAATCTGCCAATATAACAAAACAACGATAAAATATGATGTCCATATAGTAACCTAGAACAATATGAAATACCTTTCTAAATAATCGTAAACAATGCGGGTTTCCAAGAGTAACCAGCAAGCACGAACAAATTACGCCGTGCATGCAGAGCGTCCGTTCGCTGTTTTCGCTTGCAGTTACGAGTTAGTTAGGATACCTCACAAAATTAACATTTGGTTCAAATATTGAAGTTCATTAACCAAACGTTTATTTCTCAGAACCATGTTTAG